CAGGGGGGTTGGAACTGGATGATCTTCAGGTCCTTTCCAACCCTAACTTTTCTATGATTTTATGTTGAAATCAGCCCCCACACAAGGACCAGGATGCTGGGTGGATCAAAACAGTGCTAACCATCACCTGTGGGACAGCATCACTCCTCAGGTCCTGGGTAAGTGCCTGTGGACAGCACAGGCCTGTAAGACCTGCTCCGGGTGCTTTGACAACACAGGAACAAAATGCAGTGGCACTTGAGCAAGGTGTTCTCCAGGTCCTCAGCATGCTTTGGCAGTGCATCGAGGAGGAGCTTGGGGTACCAAAAATAGCCTGAATCCAGAAAGACTTGTTCTAAAATGAGTCACAGAATCAACCAGGTTGGAGAAGACCTTTAAGATCATCAAGTCTAACCCCTACCCCAGAGCAGCTCAGCAGCAAGCAGCACCCAGTCAGTCCTAGGCTCGAGCTGGAGGTTTGGTGCTTCAGTCCAGCTCTGTTAGTCAAGATGAAGTAGTGGTAGGGGGTTAATCCGAAACCCACCTGGGCTGTGAGCAGAGTGGCAGCATGAGGCAGACCCAGCAGTGTGGGAGCATCTGTTCCCATGGCAACCACTTAATTTAAAGCTATTGCAGAGCAGATGCCACTGCATCAGAAATCCAGGTTTATCTTGTAGTAAGGATGCTGCTCTGCTTCTGTGTGGGAATGCTTGGGACCTGAAGCGCACACAATAAATCCAAGCACTGTGAGCAGCTGTATTTATCTTTGATGAAATAAGAATAAAGCTGCCTAAGGCTTATGCTTTGCATGAAAAATGGGGGGTTTGGGGGTTTCAGAGCACACCTTTGCTTGGTGCTGCCTGATGCTCTCCCCACAGCAGCCTGTCTTATGCCACCCATCCCCACTACCCATCACTGGCACTCAGCTCCTTGGTAGCATCAGTTGCAGGGTTTTTTGTCTCAAAGATCTTCCTGTGAGCCAAGCTGACAGCCTGGTCTGATGTGTGTCTGTGAGCGAGAGCTGCAAATAGACAACCTGGTGGTGTGAGAGGTGGAGCGTGGGGAAAGGCTCAGAGTTCCTGCTGGGGGCTTGGGAAGCTCCAGACAGCTCCTGGGGAATCAGAGTTTATTATTCTGCCTCCAGCTTTGTTGTTTCTCATCCTGAGATGATGTTGTGGATGTGAGAAGACACAGGGACACGTTTCAGGTTTAAAAAGTAATGACAAAACTGTGTCTTGAGACAAGTGGCAGTGAGTGGAAGGTACTGATTAGAGGTTGAACCTGCAGCTGAAGCTCTGGAGGTCAGTGCTGCTGAGGAGCCGCACAGGACCTGGCCGGTGCAGGGTTTACAGAGTGGCAGCTCTAAGCCTGTGAGATGGATTATTTGCGCTCTACAGATTTTCTTTCCTCCTTCCTTAGCCCTGGTAGCACTGGCCTGGCCACCATGTCCTCCAGAGACACGAAAGGGTCTCCGCAATTTAACTGGTGCTGCACTGAATGTCTCTGCCTTTTCTGATGGGTGCTCAGTGCCTCCTGGTGCAGACACCCATCACCCCAGCAGCTCCTCTGCTGAAAGACCTGCCTTTGGTGAAGTAGCTCTTCAGCTCCTTCTAGGAGTTATGTCGGGTATGGATTTCTACCATGTGCTTGCTGCTACAGTTCAGTTTGTCTAATTCGCAGGCACTGGTTGTCTTTTCCAGTTTTACATCAGTATCCTCAGGTAGTAGTGAGTTTTTTCCCGTTTCATGTCCCAAGACTTGGAATGCAGTGTGGGGATTTACTGCAGTCAGTTTCTTGCCCTTCCTGCTGATGTGCCTTGTCACTCTAGCAGTGAAGTGAGCAGCTGAGCAACTCACACCTTTTTGGCAGAGGCTTTCACTGCAGGCAGCTGCATCCATCAGGGATGGAAAGGTTCTGGTTCCTGCCAGGTATCATAAACTCAGGTTTGGGCTGGAAGAGCTTCTGCCTAAGAGCTCATCTCAGTCTCCCGTCTGGCAGGTTAAAGCCATTCCCCTTGGCCTGTCCCTACATCCCTTGTCCCAAGCCCCTCTCCAGCTTCCCTGCAGCCCCTTCAGGCACTGGAGCTGCTCTCAGGTCTCCCCTTCAGGAGCCTTCTCTTCTCCAGGCTGCCCCAGCCCAGCTCTCTCAGCCTGGCTCCAGAGCAGAGCTGCTCCAGCCCTCGCAGCATCTCCATGGCCTCCTCTGGCCTCGCTCCAACAGCTCCACGTCCCTCTTGTGCTGCTGCCCCAGAGCTGGATCAGGGCTGCAGGGGGGTCTCCCCAGAGCACAGCAGAGGGGCAGGGTCCCCTCCCTGAGCTGCTGCTCACGCTCTGGGGGTGCAGCCCCGCACACGGGGGGGTTCTGGACTCAAGCTCACACTGAAGCCGGGTCATGGGGAGCTTCTCCTCACCCCATCTGAGTATCAGTGACTCCAGCTAGCTGAAAAATCAGTTCCTAAATTCCCTTTCTGATTCGACTTTGAGTCGATACCCAAACGCTCTTGGTTCTCCCAGCCTGCTTGGTCTGTGTATGTGTGAGCAAGCTGTTCTTGTGCCCCCATTTAAATCTGGTGTTCCTCGAGTTGCTTTTGCAGTCCGCAGATGGAGCCCTGTATAAAAATATTGTGGCAAAATGCTGCCCAACTGCCAAAAAACAAAGGTATTTGGAGGAGGTCTGAAAGGCCTCATGTAGGGGGAACGGATGGAAGTGTCACTTTGTACCATACCCAGTGCACAGCCGTGCTTTGGGCTGCGCAGCTTGGCTCTGTTCTGGGGAGGCTCTGCACAATCCAGCGCTGCTTCAGAAGGTCTCTACTAGGAATTAATGTATTAATTATTAATAACTTGCAAACTACATATGCCCTGGCAGCCCAGAACCTCCCTACAGGCCCTTTCTCACCAGGGGCTGAGCCAAAATGTGCTGTTTACTCAGGAAGTTTGTGGCTCGCTGTGAGGTGTTCCAGATTTTTGGCTTTGCTGGTGTTTAAAAAAATCTGTGGAATATTAAAGTACCAAAAGGTATTCAGAAAAGGGGAGTTTGCTGCGTGAAAATGCTGGGTTGGATGTGGAGAGCAGCTCCTCTGCCAGCCACAGCCACTCGTTCCTCTGATGAATCATTATGATTTGCCCTGGATTAGCCACTTAGCAGGAAATTGCTGCTGCCTTTATCAGCCTCAGTGCGGGGTGGATGTGTTTGAGCAGAGGGACAAAAGGCATTCGCTTTAAACACCCATGTGCCAAAGCAGCTCAGCGCTTCTGGCAGCTGAAACGAGTGGGAACACAAACCAACAGGACCCAAAGTGGGAAAAATCTGTGCACGTACAGAAAGGTGAAGAGAGGATGCAAGGAGGGAAGCACTTCTCCTTTTGGCGTGACCCAGCGCTGGCCCACCTACCTGGGCTTGCTCACAGGGCCACAGACATGTAACCGTGTCTTATTGGCTTTATCTGCCTCTGGTTCATGCCCATCTGCACTCTACCCATCAAGTTTTTCTCGTGTTCTGTGTCAGGACATCACACCCTGTTGGGAAGGGAAACACGGATTTGATTGTCATTCCTGCCATGCCCAGGAGGTGTAGCATGGATACAGAGGTAGGGGCCCCACTTTGATAAGGGACCCCCAGTCTCCTATCTAGACATTGAGTGCTTTGTCTAACTAATACTTCTTCATCTCCTTTGCTGCTTTGCAGGGGAAAGAGTGAGAACTTTGTGGTTTTGTCAGTCTTAGGCTGTTGTCTCTGTGCTCTGTGTATGCACACAGCAGTGGGCACCTCTGATGTGTCTGTGCTTCTGGCTGGTTGGGAAGGTCGGTGTGGGGCTGGCTGGAGCTCACAGCTCACAGCCTCGGCATTGCTGACCTCGGGGGTGCCTCTCTCCAGGTTCCCGGTTGTCACAGACTCTCAGAATGGTTTGGGTTGGGAGAGACCTTAAAGCTCCTCCAGCTCCAAGCCCTGCCATGGGCAGGGACCCCTTCCGCTAGAGCAGCTTGCTCCAAACCTCATCCAACCTGGCCTTGAACACTGCTGGGGATGGAGCATTCGCCACTTCTTAAGAGCTTGAAATATAATGCTAAAATAGGAAGGAAAAGAGTAGGAAGAATACAGTAACCCCTTATTTTTCATTTTTCTTCCAGGCATAGGGTAAGGTTTGCATTAGGAAGTTTTCTTCCCTGTTTAAGGGTATTGCTGTACTAACCTTTTAATAACTGACCCCTTTGCTATCATCTGCTGGGGCACACGTCTTCAGAGGCTAGTGGTCCCTGCACAGGGGCTGCTCGTGGGGCTCTGGAAGGTGGCAGCTCCTCACCCCACTCTTCCAGGGGCTGAATTTGAATGGAGGTCCTGGTGGGCAGTGGATCAGGCACCAGTCACAACCTCTCTGCTCAAACTGCTTCCAGCACACCCTGTCCCTTCCCACCGTCTCCATCTTCCCCACAGTCTCCATGTACAGAGGAGATGGGATGCCGGCAGTCTGACAGTGTTTGGGCTCATCAAGAGCATCTTTTTAGTTCCCTGTTCCTACTGCAGGTTGGCTGTTCCTGCATTCAGGAGCAGAGCACCCATGTGGGGACACCCAGATCTGCTCAGGGAAGGGCACCCTGTCACTGCTCCCCTGTGAGCTGGGCCTGTTCCTCCAGAGCCCTGCTGGGACTCTGCAGCCCTGGATGCAGCACCTCTGAGCAGGCATTCCAGTCTGCCTGTGCTGTCCTGTTCCACATCCATCTCCTGGTCCCGGTGCAGGCAGCAGACCCAACCCCTCTAAGGCACCCAGAGACACACGGGATGGGTTTTGTTTCTGGTACTATTGCAAATGTATGTATTTATCCTGCTGTCGTATCTTATGTGCCAGCTGCTATAAAAATGCATGATTTCAGATCTCAGCAGCCAGCACAGGTAGGGAGGAGGGAGCCCTTAAAATTCAGCTCGTTTAGGGTAATTTTTAATCTCTCTCCCTAATTATTTAATCACTGAAGTAGTGCTGAGGATGTGCCATAAATAATGCTCTGTGTCTTCTTCCCCACTAGCTGCTCCATCTCGGCCGAGGCGCAACACAGCGAGGCACAGCTCCTTCATCTCTTATTCTCATTGATCTGAATGCACATGACTCAGTAGCACTGGGGAAAGGAAACCAAAGGTAACTTCATATTTTCACTTGCTTTGACAAACCGTATTTCATTAAGAATCTTGTACGTGTGGGCTTTTACTCGGTGTGTGTACACACACTCACCCGGTGCCTTTGGTGGTGGCAGTGCTCACCTCGGTGTGGGCTGTTCTCTATAGCATTGCTGTGATAAATTAGGAAAAGGATTTGTCAATAAAATAGAATGAAGCGGAATTACATCAAGGTGTAATGTATGAGACAGCAATTTGCTAGCTGTTTAGCAGACACATGGGGGTGTGCATGCAAGATGTTTCCTCACGGTACTTTCTGTCCACGAAGGGCTTTCAGTGCCTTTGTGACTCCCCCTCAGTGACCTTGAAGAGGGATGAGCCCTTGTGCCTGCCCCTTCTGTGTTTAGCAGAGTGTGGCTAGAAAGGGAATGGTAAATATGGTCAGTTCTGGAGAATGAGCTGTCCAACTCTGAGCTGGGTCACTACTCATGATGCAGAACAGCGTCCACATCCCTGTGAGATAGTGCAAACCCTCCTGAGCAGGTCCAGGTGAGCTGGTGGGATGTTGCAGGATGCCCACACGTGTTGCTGGAGCTGTCTGCTCCCTGTTGCACCTCAGGTGGACTTTGTGCATTGCAGCATTCCTTCGGCCAGGGCTGAGCTTGGACCTCGTGCTTGCCAAGAGCTCGTCCCCGGGGCAGAGGCTGGGGGAAAGAAAGAGAAAGAAAAAGCCTTTCCCTGTGCAGTGTTTGAAAGATGTACCCTTGAAAGTGCTGAGGGATTATAATCACCTGTCCTTAAGACTGCTTCTGCTTGGCTTCATGTAAATGGGCTTTTCACATCCCTTCCTTGCCTGTGGCCTTGCCCTGCTGGCTCACAGGGCATAGGTGGGGATTAAAGCTCCAAACCATCAAAACAGCTAGGGAGCACCAGGAAAAGCAATCCAAGGCAAGTGAAAGCTCTCCGGATCCTTTATAACAATTCTTTATAACAGTCTTCCAATACCTGAAGAGACCAAGAAAGCTGGAGAGGGGCTTGGGACAAGGGATGTAGGGACAGGCCAAGGGGAATGGCTTTAAGCTGCCAGAGGGGAGACTGAGATGAGCTCTTAGGCAGAAGCTCTTCCCTGTGAGGGTGCTGAGGCGCTGGCACAGGGTGCCCAGAGAAGCTGTGGCTGCCCCATCCCTGGCAGTGTTCAAGGCCAGGTTGGACACAGGGGCTTGGAGCAAGCTGCTCTAGTGGAAGGGGTCCCTGCCCGTGGCAGGGGGTTTTAACTGGGTGAGCTTTAAGGTCCCTTCAACCCAAACCAGGCTGGGAGTCTGTGATTCCTTTTGAAACTCCTGCAGTGCCTGTTTGCCATGCTGGGCACACGACAGAGCCGGTTCCAGCTGGGAGCTCTGGGCAGAGCCAAAGCAATAGCACATGCAATTCTACTGACATAAATTAATTTTTCTTGGAGTTCTTCGTGAAGGGTTTAAATCTTGCATGAAGCGCTCAGGTGTCAATGGACGCTTCCTCAAACCCTTTCTTTGCGTTTCCCTGTGAGATGTACAGGCTCTGGAGGGTGAAGGCAGATAGAATTGTCTGAAATGTCTTGACCTGGGGTGGCAGGAAAGGAAGAAGCAATGGCTCTCCCACCAGACACAGGGGAGGTGCAGCTTGGCTCCAGCAGGGAGCTGGACACAGGAGCACCCAGGCTGGAAAGGGATGGCAGGTGAAGGTGTTGCTGTCCTGCTGTGCCTGGGTGCTGCTTCCAAGCTCCCAGCCAGCAACCAGCCGGCAGTCATATTTCCTCTCCTGGCATTGCTTTGACACCAGGTATCTGCTTTCCAGGAATGCAATTTAATCCGTGGAGAGGCGAGTGTGTCACATTAATGGGAAGAGCGTGTGGCACACATCCAGTCGTTTTTACATGAGCCATAATTCCCTCACAAGATGCAGTGGGCATCCTGCGTCGAGGATGCACGTCTGTCTTGTCACCCACGGCTGTGGGGCACTTCAGTGTGTGTATGGGGGAGAGGGAGTTGTGCCATATCCCAGGTGTGCCTCAGAGACTGGGATGTCCCAGATCCCAAGGAGGGAGACTCTGGTGTTCCTTATTAATCACTTCTCCTGCAAATGGATTAAGTGCAGAGCAGCCCAGCAGTCTCTGGTACTTTTCTGCCCTGTCTCCATAGCGACCCATTTATTCAGGAAAAGTCCCAATTTTGTGCTCTAGTATTTGTAACCTTTTAAGACAATTTGGAACTATTTTGATTGGAGATGTTTAGCACCAGCTGTAAACGGGTGCTGGCTGCATGGGAGGAGCTGGAGCTGCCTTTCCTCAGCCCTCCAGACCTGTACTCATCCTCCTGCTTTGGTGCTGCTTTTGGTGCAAACCAGGCTGGGATTTATGTAGGGAATGTGCTGAGTACTTTCCATTCCCATTAAAATCATTTTGCACTGGAAGCCGAATGAGGGCAAGCTGTTGCTGTAAGCCTGCAGTATGATAGTGCTGGTGCTGTGCTTCATGAGGACCCCTTGCAGCCAGTCTCGCTGCAGCTCCTGGGTGTTCGGTGCTGTGCTGGGGCTTACATGCAGCCTACGACTGCACATCAGCCCTGGCTGCAGGGGAACTGATTCTTCCCATGTTCCAGATGCTGAGCTGGGATGTGAAGGCCTGCACCACAGAATCATAGAACCAAGTAGGTTGGAAAAAACCTTTCAGATCATCAAGTCCAACCGATGCTCAGCCCCAGGGTCAGCTGCAGGTTGGTTGTCCAGGGTGTGTTTAAGGAGACTGGATGTAGCATCGCCCACAGTGGTGCTGACCCATTTTGGGGGGTGTAAGTGGCACAAAGACACAGTTGTACCCAGTGTGGTCACTGCAGTACCGCAGGGTGGCCCAGGTCTCCTTCTCCAGGTGGGGCACTGTTCACTTTTCTTCAGTGAAAAAGATATCTTCTGGCTCAGCCAGCCCTGAAGGGTCCATCCCTGCTCCCTCAGCAGCTTTCCTGTAGGCATCCTGGCTGGGAGAGATCGCACCCCTGCTCCCAGGAGCTGCAGCTGGAGCATCTCGGGTTTTTTCTAGCACTTTCCAAAGGGAAGTTGATCTAAAATCTGAGCCAACATTTTGTTTTGAACATGGCAAAAATCTGTAAAACCTTCCATGTAAAAGAAATATGAAAGCAAGCTGCTTCCCTTTGAAAACTCCCCTGTAGAGAGCTTCAAGACTTTGCTCTTAAAGGTCTGTGCTTTATTCTCTTTGATACACTGATTGTAATGCATCGCATGGTGGTAGGGCCTTGGTCCCTTGGGTGCTCATGAACCTCATCCTCACACCCATGGAGGGGATGCAGGGCAGAAGGGGGGTGTGGGGTGCTTGGGTGAAGCCAGGGAGGGGCGAGGTGCCCGCCCCTGGCACAGGGGATGGAGGGGATGAGGAGGTTTCATTTCGTGGGACAATGGGTATCGATGACAGCAGCTGTATCTTGTTGGGTATGGAATGGGCCTCGGGCTGAGCAATGGCTGGACTGGATGCCATAAAGGGTGCTTGGATTGCCTGGTCTGCTGCATGGAGGAGGCTGGGGCTGCTGGCTTGAAGTCAATACAGAGGACACCCATAGATCTGTCAGCGTGTCGCCATGTCCCAAAGCCTGAGCTGCAGCAAGACCCACACCGGCAGCAGATCCACATCTGAAGATGCTTGAACATTGCCAGCTGCCCCCTGCACACCAGTGGCTCCAGTGACCCCCCACCCTGTGTGCTGTGGGAGCGGTGAAGCGGGGAGCTGACCCTGCAGGACCCCCGGGAGGCCCACATGGAGCAGACGGAGCCCTTTCCTCTGAGTAGCACAGGTCAAAAGTCCATAAATAGCAGGGAATGCAAACTGCAGCCTGGCTGAAGCTGTGGGAAAGGTGGCAGCTCAGGGTCCTGCAGCTCTTCAGCCAGTCGCTTCCACATTCAACCTGACCGCTCCGCGAGGCAAAGCAGCTCACTCGCTGCATCTTAACCTGGCCATGATAAACCAAGGTCTCTTCTTCCCACTTCCACCTCTTCACCAGGCAGATTGGTGGCAGGACGCAGCAGAAGTGACAGCTCTGTTGCACGCGCAGGGAAGCCCCAGCACGGAGTTCAGTTTGCAGATACAGGTCCAGAATCTATTCCTGGTGGAAGAGCAGAGTCAATCCGGGATAACAGCCTCAGTGTTATCCCTGTAGCACAGCCCCCAGAGACTCTTTTCGGCAGTGAGCAAGGTCAAAACTTCCACCCGGATTTATCCCTGTGCAGCTAAAAGTGGCAGTTTTCCTTGTGAAAAGAAGCGATGCGGATGCCTGGGAAGCAGTGATGTGTCATGGCCAAGGGGGCAGCCACAGACCCATTTTCTAGCAGGTAACGGCCCAGATTTGCTCCTGAAGACCTCCTTGATCTTAACTAGTATGAGCTTCAATGCATTGTCATAGGGGAGACTTCTCCTTTCAATCAGGGCAAGATGAACAAGGGGAGAAGAGCCCCCAGGCTGCAGTGTGCTCCTGCCTCTGCTGCCCCACAGCTGCTGCAGGGACCTCGGGCTGCTCAGAGGAAAACCTTTGGATTGCTCAGCTCCAGAAACATCACATGTGCATGGTGGTAACGGTTTTTATCACCTTGCTGCCTTTTTCTCCCAGTTCTGAGCAGCCTCCTTTGCTATTTCTGTAATGATTGATGCCAAGCAAAGCCAGTACTGCCCTTCCGTGGCTGAGGCTGTGCTATGTTCTATAGGCTCTGGGCTCATTCACATTGTGTCTCAGTCCACTGCTGCTTTCAGCCTCCTCTGAACCAGTCACGGATGCAGTGGCACACTTAGCTTCTAAGAGAAGTAGAAATATGTTTTATAGAACCCCAGCCTGGTTTGTGTTGGAAGGGACCTCAAAGCTCATCCAGCTCCAACCCCTGCCACAGGCAGGGACCCCTTCCACTAGAATAGCTTGCTCCAAGCCCCTGTGTCCAACCTGGCCTTGAACACTGCCAGGGATGGGGCAGCCACAGCTTCTCTGGGCAGAT